GAAAGAGAGAGGGCGCGTATCACCTTGAGGGCAACCCGCACAGGAGCGAGAAGAGAGGGTCTTCGGGAAAATCCTAACGAATGTGAATATTTGAAAACACGTTTGCGCTATAATGTATGCGGGTGCTTCTCTCCCAGCCCTATCCGAACAGGGCTCCCCAGGGAAAGACCAACTCCAGCTGTGTCACATCGTCTCACCCTTTCCCTGCTGAGGTGTACACTCTGGCAAGCTTAAGTACTGGACTTGGCTGCGTTGTCCGATGCCCACGATGCCTACTACAGGACAGAAGTCTAGACACCTGCCTGAGCTTTCATGGGGGAAGGGGGAAGAGATGATTCTGCCTTGGCCTCAGCACAGATACCTAAAACCCCAGGTCATTCTGAATTGGGAGAAGTTCCAGAAAAAGAACTCTAGTCTGCTGCTGCCTTGGAAACGTACCCCTTGAGAATTTTCCCTATCAGTCTGAGAGACTGGACCCGGCTCCCTCCACACATAGGGGTCCAAGGGTGGTTAAAAGGGAACTCTCCAGCAGTTTATAAATTAACATTGCCTAACTTTTAAAACACAAACTGAGGAGGAAGGGGGCGGGAGTACCTGTAAAGATTTAAGAAAGAAATGGGCCTGTTTCCCTAAAGGAAACGTTGAGAAAGGAAAAGCGCGTTTGGCAGGTGGGCTCAAAATAGCCAAATGACAAAAAGTTGGTGCGCTCGTGTCTTTGATGACTTTCTGGGTATTTGCGCTCTTCCTGGTCCTCCTTGCTACCTTTGTTTAAGATGCCCGTGGTGTGAATGTGCAAACAGGTTTCCATTAGCGACAGACAGCTGCGTATTCGTGGGCCTATTCGGTGCACGTAGGCGCTGAGAAGTTGCAGGGCACTGTGGGCTCCGTGTGAGCACTTCTGCCGGACTGCGCGCGCGCACGCGCGGTGTCAAGGGAGTGAGTACAGGTGCATCTCTATCAAGAGTGTGTATGAGTGTCATGTGTAGACATATTTTATGTGAGTATAGTGTGCAAGTATGCGTGTACAGAGCAAGATCATACAGTGAGTATGAGAGCCCGAATTCACACGTGTTTCATGTGTGCACTTGTGTGTGTTGAATGCAGTAAAAAACATCCTTAAAATCTAAGCCTGGCTACGGGAAAGCAGCAGGCTGGGTGGAAACCGAGGTGTCAAGGGCAGCAGTGAGACTGTAGGTTCCTTGGCATTATAGATGGGAGAGAACCTGCTGGATGAGTGCAGGGCATGGCCACAGGCCCGGGATGAGCGCCCAGCTCAGCTCCCTGCAGACCAGGTGTAATTTCCACCCACAAATTACACGAACGGAGAGCGCAACGGTCCCTGCTGGACAGTTCCGCGCTCTTAATGGTTCCTCGCGGACAGTTTCTGATTATTGATGCCGCGTCCAAAAAGAGACCGCTTCCGGGAGATTTGCTTGTGTGTTCATTCCCTTTATCGCTGTTGATTCACTTGGCTGCCACAAAGACTCAGCCAAACCTACCAGCAGGACCCTGCCCAGGATCCTCTGAGCGGATTCGGGCTTGCAGGCTACTTGCGAGCCAGAATCGTCTTCTAAGGTGGAGTCACAGCGCCACCTCGCGATCTTTGCGCTCCCTCGCGGCACTGCTTCTCGAGATTGAGATTTTACAGGTCCCTACCTACAATTCCCCAGTGCTGGGTCATGTTCACATTCACCATCTCTTCGGTTATTAAGTTCCTCATCTTCCCAGGAACACCTTGAGCATCTCTAGACTATCCACCCGCCACGGTTCAATTTCCAAAGTTACCTAAATGAACCTTTCCTTCCAGGGCAGCCCATGGGTATCTTTCCACTGTTTCCCCTAAGATTCATCTCACACTGCCAGAAATACTCAGCCCTCCCTAATCAAGGAACTACTCAATAATGTTGACGAGTGTTTTTCCAATATCAACACAATCTACAGCTTACTGTGTGTGTATGATGGAGTCTCTGATACAATGTACTAAGTATAGTACAGTCTTAATCTTCCCAGCAAAGCCACACAGCAAGCCCTGGTGTTCTTTCTTACTTTGTGCTCGAAGAAAGGGGCGGGCGGGGAGGTCAGCCAAGGTTACCTTGCAAAGTTGAGCCCAAGTCAGTCTGTCTGATGCCAGAACATACTTTTAGCTTCTGTGTCTTGCAAATTCTATCAGCCCTATGGCCTCAGGCTATGTGACCAGACAAGGCTCAGAGTGGGCACTCATGTTCACCAAACCCATTTCCCCAAAGAACTGAGCCAGGAAGAGAACAGCCGGCATCAAGCACCTTGATTGACATACCAACACAAGAACTGATCACAAAGCGTATTACACCACTGTCTACCTGAGGGACCCTGGCCAAGGCAATCATCCCTCAATCTCCTTATTCTTTTGTTAAAGATATTTTACTTTTTATACTATGTGTATGAGTGTCTCCCTGAATGTATGTATGGTATGTACACCATGTCCATGCCTCCGCCACTGAAGGCCAGAAAACCGAGTCAGATACTCTGGAACTAGAGTTACAGTTTTGAGCTGCCATGTGTGCTCTGGGAACTTACCTTGTGGCTATATCTTCATTTTCATTTTGGACATGAATTACGTGATGGGATATGTTTACTTTGTGGTGGTTTGAGTGTTTATGTTAACCCTGATATGTTAAAAACAATGTAAGGGGTAGAGGGAGAAGATATAACTAAACAGTAAATCATCAGGCTTTGCCTCCTGCCCTCTCCTCCTCTGTAGACTCTTGCCAAGTAAGATTTAAAGGGAGATGATAAACATGTTTCTTACTCTGGAAAGTACAAAACTCTACTTTTTTTAATTAGGGGAGATTCTGAACTAGCTTGAGTGTTTCCCCACTTAGAAAAAAAATATTGTTTCAACTAACACTTTAAAAGCTTTGAAATTAAACTAAGCAAATATGTGCAGGCAAATGGCTGCACCCAAATAAGAGAAACAAATTAGGGTTGGTGGAGCAAAGTCCAGGCCTTCAGATATTTCCCTAAAAGACTATATTTTAAAAGTTTGGTGTGTCTCTCTCTCTGGAATGACTCATTAAAGAATTACTCCTGTAATTTTGGTGACAATGAACTTTCCAGCTTGCTCAGGTTGGGACTTCCCACTCTGAAAAGGTAAATGGGTAATGCTCATATGATAGCTCTGTATAACGTCTCCTGAGAGAAGTGAGGCAGAAAAATCCACAAAAGATAGAAATGTACCTCCCATTCTGCTAGCTCAGGATCCAGTTCCAGAGACCTCACTACAAGCTTGGTCAGTTTTATCCATTTGTACTTGTTTCTTCTCTCACAAGATGCTCTTGTACGGCGGATGAAGAGATCTGGGGAACTTAACCTGTATTGAAGCAATGTGCTCAGGGGTTTAGTTGTATGGCTGATGAGATTTCATTATCCTTGGTTGGGAATTTGGCTCATACTGATGCTGTGGTACCCTGACTTTTTTGACAAATTGGGATCTATTCTGTTTCCTCTTCCTCTTCCTCCTCCTCCTCCTCCTCCTCCTCCTCCTCTTCTTCTTCTTCTTCTTCTTCTTCTTCTTCTTCTTCTTCCAACTATATGGACTG